ATATATTTATATATATATATATATGTATATATAGGACATCAGGTCTATAGAAATTTGTATCCCTCCCATGTACATTTTACAGATGTTCCTCTAAAGCTATATAATATTGATATTATACTCCTAATTTGCCTATTAGCCGCAATTGCAATTCTCTTCAATTTTAGCTCACAGCTACCCAAATATTTGCTATAATATCCTCCATCATAAAATATCTCCTTGTCCTCGTCTCTTTTGTATCTTGTTTTTGTTCTATTTGGTTTGGTATTTTCCATTTTTGGCGATCCTATATTCGATTTTTCTTTTTTCTTTTGACTTGGCCTATTTGGCGCTCAGCGCTGATACTGCATGCTAATGACTTTCTCCTTAAAATTGTAGTTGCACAACATGTTCTTCAGGGATTTAAAGAACTTGGTCAATGGGCTGTGTCGTTGCAGGCCCAGAGCATCGCTTGACATCGGCTGCAGTTCCAGCCGCAGCTCCTTGTAGTCGGCGCCAATGATCACCGAGAAACGTCCGTTCAGATTGACTACGAAATTCGCATTCGCCGGACGCGTTTTGATGAACTCGATGGTCTGCTGCAGCTGCTGGGCAAAGAAGGACTGTTTGGTGGAGCGTTGAAAGTTTCGCGCACTCCAAGTATCCACCGAGGTATTGATCAGCCAGGTATATTGTGGCGGCAGTGTTTGAGGGGCAGCGATCGATTGGGTCTCCTCTTTCGGCTCGATCTGCTTCAACGTTAAGCCATATATATTGACTAGAATATCCTTGATCGCATCCACATAGCACTCGGCCCAATAGAAAAATATTGTTTGCTCTGTATTCGTCTTTTTGCTGAGCAAATCCGCCCGCAAGCTCTTCAGGTCGTTATTCGTGGGCTTCAGTATGTGGACATGCATCGACATGACCGGTCCATTATCCACGGAACTTGTCGAGGACAGTCTTTCTTTGGACTTATCATTTGATTTAGCTGGCGATTCCGCTGGCGGCTCTGCTGGCGGTTCCGTTGGCATGTCAGCAGTTGTAGGAACTTTCGTTGGCTTTGCTTCTCTTGCAGGCTTTGGTGCTGGAGTTGATGACTTCGGTGCTGCGTCGACCACAATCTGGGTTGTTTTCGCCATCTTGGGTTTATCTGCGTCCTGCTGCTGCTCCCTAGTCGACACTTGTCTTCGCACCTTGGCAGGATGGCCCTGCTCTATCCTTTGGCTCTGCAATAGCTGCTCGGCCAGGCCAAATATTAAATAGTCATAAAGTTTTGCCGGCGCTGCGACAAGCTTCTTATCGCAACACGCTTGATGGGCCAAGACCAAACATTCGCGCAGGTAACAGAGATTCGTAATGGAAATGGACTGGCCCACATTGTGCTGCATCTCGAAGGGATCCTGCACACAAACGCAGCGTTGACTCTGAAACGGCTCCGGCTGCTCGCCCGTCGCCTTTGCCATCGCCTGCAGCTGCTGCTCATATTCGGGAAAAGTGCCAGGCACCGAGAAAGCTGTGTTGATATCCAGCGCATAGCCCAAGTAGGGCGACAACAGCTTCCTCTCAAAGTCCATTTTATGGTATAGCGCAAAGAAATCGGATATGAGATCCAAAGAGGTCACGTCGGCCGGTATGGGACGCACCTGCTGGAAGCTGTAGGCATAGTTGACGCCCATGACCTCGACGACGGGGCATCGGGCCTGCAGCTGCTTAATCGATGGCAATAGCCTCTGCTGCTGCAGGCCAAAGATGATCAGGGTGATCAGACAGTAGCTGGTCATGCTGCCGCTGCCGATGATCTTCAGCTTCTTGGCCCACAATTTGAGAAATAGGAAAAGTTCACGCATTCGCACATCCCTGCCCAGCAGTTCGGCGACAAAGCGCGAATTGTACGTGCTGTTCGGACTGGACATATTGATGTCCAGACTCAGCCCGCTGTAGACGTGCTTGCAGCGTATGATGGGCACACGGGCATGCCGGATGGCGAACACATCCTGAAAGCATTCGCTGCGACGCAAGAAATTGTAGATCTTGTTGAACAATTGGCGATGTGATATGGCATTCGAGCTAACGTCCGTCTGTTCCAAAAACAAGTCAATGTCACTATCTAAAGAGCAAGAACACATAAGCATAATCTGGAAGATGCCAGTTGAGATTGGACAGTACGAACCTTTTAAAGCCAGCCCCGTTACAAGGGAGCCAAAGGGATAAACTTTCACTCTACCCTGCAACTGTTTTTGTAGGGTGCCGCGCACTTGGGAGAAGCAAGCCGACAGTTCGCTGCAATTGCCTGCATAGAATGTCAATATGGCACGCAAATGCTGTCCGGCCGGCGCCTGGGCCAGAGTCGCCTTCAGCACGCGACGTTCGCATTGGATTTGTTCGCTGGCAAATAGCTTTGTGATTGCGTCCAGGCATTTCCGCAGCTTCTTCTGCGGCTTTATTGTGTGCTTGAGCAGCTCATGTGCCAGGCAATCCTGTAGGGTATTGAAGGTAGCTTCACACACCTTGCAGCGCACCGAATCGTCCTGGGAGGGCTTTGTGCGGGTCTCCAAGTCGCTCATTTCTGTAAAAACCAAATTTTAAAAGCAACTGATTAAAACACAAACTTAGTACATTATTTTATTTACGGGGCACATTTGAAATAAAGCTCAAAGCACAGCTCAAAGCATGCGACATCTACATATAAAGTTAAACAGACAGAAACCAGATCGGGAATTAGAAAGACAAGGGCTTTCCCGTTCGTCTATCAACAACGCGCTGAAAATAACTGGGAGAAATGCAACCAGCAATGCCAGCACATAGTATCACATTGTTACTGGAACGATACAGTTCCAGCTGATCCGCTAGCACCTTGGCCACATCCAGGTAGATGAGCACTTGGCAATCGCTGCGAAAACCGCTTACCACGGCTTTGCCTTCTCCGCCCAGTACGGCGAAGTGTATGTGATTGCGTGTCAGGCGCTTCAAGCCCTCCGTCTTGATGTGCTCCCAGTTTTTGTAGTAGGTGCCATGGACCACGGGATCGGGCAGTTGAGAGATGCTATTGATGCGCTCCATGCATGCCTCTGCCTGCACAGTTCTAAGCGAATGGCCCTGATTGGCGCGTATCTCCTCTGCACCCGTTACGGGATTTGAACGCAACTGATAACGCTGCTTTGCATCCGCTGCAACGATTTCCCGCAATTTTTCTTTGCTGTACTGGACGCCGTACCGCGGATGCCGTAAAATATCTGCAACGCAGACGTACCCATCTGGCTGCATTGTGAATCCCTCCTTTTCAGCGCCATGACGCAGCAGCCAAGATAACTGTTTGCTCAATTGTACATTCGTCTGTTTTTGTGTCATCATTGCCAATTGAATTAAGTTACTCACTTGTTTAAATTTTCAATTTTGTACGAGAACGTGAATTCATATTGTGAAATCGGTTTGCAATTAATTACCAAGCAATTATCGATAATCTTATCGATAATCAGTTGTCCTAAGCAACAGAAAATTGTACTATCGCATAGACTGTGCCGTCACAGCTAAACAGCAAAATGTTATTTAAACATTATTTATATGTCATTATATTAAAATTTTTATTATTGCCTAACATATGTTTGCMTTCTTCTTCTTGTAAATACTTTCCACCTATCGGTCATTACCTTATACATTCTATGAACCATGCATTTAGAACAACTATCGTGCCGGCCTTATCAACAGTTGGAAATACATAGCTTTTAAAAATTCTTGTTATTTTATTTAATTATGCGGCTTTTGGTACTTTATGGCAGTCAAACTGGCACCGCCCAAGATGTGGCCGAGCAGATATGGCGTGAGTCCCGACAATGGGGATTTCAGGGACCGGTACTCAGTCTGGAGGATTACGATATTCAACAGTTGGTCGAGGAGCGACTCGTTGTCTTTGTGGTCGCCACCACCGGCGATGGCATGGAGCCCGACAATATGAAACAAGCCTGGCGCTTCCTACTCAAACGCAGCCTGCCTAGCCATTCACTGAGTGGCTTACAGTTTGCCTGCCTGGGACTGGGAGATTCAAGTTATTCCAAATTCAATTATGCTGCGAAGAAGCTGCACAAGCGTCTGCTGAATCTGGGCGCCAAATCCATCTGTCCCTTGGGCTTATGTGATGATCAACATGACTATGGCCATTTGGGCACATCGCTGGCCTGGACAGCGGAGCTATGGAACACACTAAGTAACACGTTAGCTGTGCATAAGCAAAAAGAACCGATGATAGTGAAGAGGTGGAACGTGCGTGTGATTGAGCAGTCGCCTCCACTGGATGAGGACCGCCTACAGTGGACACAGCGGCAGGAGGCACACGTGTTTAAGCTAGCTGAAAATACACGCACCACAGCTGCAGATCATTTCCAGGACGTGCGTCTGCTGCGACTGGAAAGAAGCACAGAGGCCATAAGCTGGCAGCCTGGCGATGTGCTCGAGGTGCAGCCACAAAACAGCTGTGAACTTGTCAAAGATTTCTTTGATCTACTGAAGGAGCATCAGCTTCAATTCGATGCCAGCACCGTGGTAGAAGTGAGCAGTGCTCACGAGGATTTGCCTCTGTCTTTGGCTTACTCCAAGCCGCTTTCGTTGCAGCAGGCAGCGAAGTATATTTGGGATCTGAGTGCCAGGCCGCGTCAAAGACTGCTTGAGGTGCTCGCCCAGAACTGCGAGGACGAAATGGAGCGCGAGAAGCTCTTGGAGTTCTGCAGTGCCGAAGGTCTAGAAGATTTGATATCGTATGTAAACAGACCACGTCGCATGCTGCTGGAGCTGTTGCAGGACTTCCGGCATGCCATGGCCAAACTAACGCTCTCCCAGCTATTCGAGATGATGCCTCTGATACAAACGCGCAGTTTTTCCATTGCATCCGATCAATCTGCCAAGACACTGGACTTGCTCGTGGCTGTCGTTAACTATAAGACCATAATGCACACTCCCCGCTTGGGTCTGTGCTCGAATTGGCTGAAGGACTTGGAGGTGGGCGTAGAGTTGCGTGCTGCCATCAAACCGGGCACAATGACCTGGCCGAAGGAGGTACAGACGCCCCTAATCATGATTGGACCGGGCACAGGAATTGCGCCCTTTCGCAGCATTATCCAAAATCGTTTGCATTTGCAGCAGTTGGGCCAGAATGTGGGTCCCCTCGTTGTCTTCTTTGGCTGTCGGAACCGGTCGAAGGATTACCACTTCGTGGAAGACTTCACGGCATGGCAGGACAATAACTGCGTGGAGGTACATGTGGCGTTCTCGCGTGACCAGGAGAATAAAGTCTACGTGCAGCATCTGATCAGGCAGCACGGCGCACATCTAGCTAAACTGATTAGGGAACAGAATGCCTATATCTATGTGGCGGGCAGCTCCAACAATATGCCAAAGGCGGTCAGAGAGGCATTCATCGAGGCACTGGACAACGATGCGAGCTACATCGACCAACTGATAAAGCAAAGACGCTACCAAGAGGAAACGTGGGCCTAAGCCTAGGAATTGAATGGGAGTGGTTCCCATTCCTCGACACAATAGACAAATTTGCAGTTTCTTAGTTTCTATTTGTTGGACGGACATGTTAAAACAACATCACGTTTTAAATTAAACATAGGCTAACCATCTAAATGTTTTAAATTAAAGTGTTCCTAAAGAACGAACGAGCATTGTACTTTATGTTACTCAAAAGTCTTTCAGCAGCAAATCCGACGAGGTGCGACAGAACGGACAATGCCCCTTTTGCAGGACCTGCAGCTCGAAGTCCTCCGCGTAGAACAACTGAAAATATAAATTGAAAATATGAAACTAACTCAGCTATGGAGAGATTCTGCATCTCAGTCTTACCAGCAGACACTCCGAGCAGTAGGTGACCTGAAGATCGGGCAATATATTACGATAGTATATGTTGCGTATGTGCTTATCCTGTCGCTTGAGTATTAGCACATGATTGGGATCTATAGCGCGCAATGCATTGCGATCTAAGCTCAGGGGCAGCGCGCTGGCCACATCTTCATTAAAGGGATCCGCATCCTCGGCATTCTTGGCAGGTGCCAAAAGCAAGCGCTCCGCCTCGGCATCGCTGATGTCCACCTCCGGATAGAATTGTACTAAAGGCAAGATTTCTGTAAAGCAGCAAAGTTAATATACATATGATTGGATTCGATTAGTTTAGATTTAATTACCAAACGAAACAAATGAAAATATATAATCCTGTCGACAGGTGGGACAAGTATTGTTATTTAAGTGCTGGCTGTAATTGGAGCACTTATAGCACAGCGGCAGCAGCTCCTCGGGATCATTGAAGCCGCTCTTGCAGGCCTTGCTATTCAGAAAATTGAGCTGCCGATAAATATCAGAATTAATTAAATGCTTCGTCATATATTGGTTAGAGAACTTACATCGATTTGCTCCTGAACGCCCGCAGGTGGCTTGAGCGACTGCAAACGCTTGTTGACCAGCAGACACAGCTTGTTGGCCTGCAGCAATTTGGCCTGCTTGGCCAGCGTGAACAGAACGGAGCTGTAAGTGCATAACAATTAGTTTTCTACAGATATATATAAAAATATACATAGATAGACACATACAACATGCTGACGCCCTTTGGCGCGCCCTTGTGTTCCACCTCATTGCATATGAAGCGGCTCACGTTGAAGAGGCTGACAGGCGAGTGGGTGGTAAAGGGTTCCTTCATATAGCTGAAGATGACGCTGTACGCATAGTAGACCTTAGCGATACGCAAATGGTTTTTGTACTCGTTCAGATGATGATCAATGGCATTTTGCTCACTGCAAGAAACGGAAAAGTATTACAGGGTATATAAAAACAGCTAGCAATCGTATAAAGCTTACGGTTTTTCGTGATAGATATCCAGATACTGTTTAGCCAGCAGCCAGTAGAAGTAGCTGGCATCCAGGTAACGCTTCTCGACAATGGCCGTGTTGCTCAGCTGCTTCAGCAGACGATTCGCGTCCTTGGTGCGTCCAGCCTTTAAATAGGCTGTGGAACAAAAGAAACAATGTTTATAAACAAGATTATATATTATGCTCAGACTCACCCTGGTGCGCTTCTATAAACTGATCCGTTTCAGCCAGCCACTGCGCATGCTGATAGTGCACAGTGGGCAGCAGGTCGGGCAAAGCCTCAGCCAAACGAAACGCTTCTGCCCAATCCTGCACCTCGACATGCAGCTGCACCACCTGAGCCTCGTCACCCAGCTTCTTGAACATCTCAGCAGCAAGTGGCAAGGCTTTGAGCTTCTTCAGATTCTGAGCAACCGATAGCACAGCATCGCGTTCACTCAGACTCAAGCGTCGGCCAATGTCGTACAGACTGCAAGCAGAGATATATATATATAGTAATTGCTCTACGATCGATCTCATTCTCTCATTCACTTACACATCTGCCCAGCCCTGCTCGGCCACAATGTCTATTGCCTTTTGATGCTCGCCGGCGGAGAGCAGCAGCTCAGCCGCTGCTCGGGGTTCCTTCACGGAGTACGCCCACTCGGCACGCTTGCGCACGAGCTCACGCTTCTCGGCTTCGCTGCCGTCCTTCAGATACTCCTGTGCCAGATCGAACATGCGCAGATCCGTGTACATTTCGAGCGCACGAGAGGTTTGATTGCATTTGAGGAACAAACGAGCGGCCTCTTTGAACTTGCCTGCAAAGGCACAGCTCTCGCCGAGCAGCACCTCCTTGGGCACCGTGGCGCGCTGCTGTTGCTCACGCAGCTCGCCGATGAGCTGCAGCCAAGGCAGATTGCGCACCTTGACATAAGCATCGCGTGCAATATTGATGTGCAGCGCCTCGAGAGCAGATTGAGCTAGGCCTTCCCAGTCGCTGTTGGTGACGCCAAGGCAGGCCACCTGGTAGGCCTCGCTGGTGGGAAGAGAAGGTATGGATTAGACTGGATTCTTCTTAAGCATATGCAATACCTACTCAAACAAGCCCGCCTCGATGAACTGCCACATGGTGGCTCCCAGAGCCAGCGGCGTATTGTGCATTATGTTGCCGCGCAGACAAAATGCAGTTGCACCACACAGGCCCACCACCACGCCGTGCATATTCTGCGGTGCCCGCGGTGGCAAATTGCCCACTCGCACGCTCAGCCCGCCCGTGGTGTGCGTGTAGCAGAGCATTGTGTCCAGGTGCGTATTCCAAGTGACGCTATTCACGCCCACATCCTGATAGAGTATCGTATCGTTGAGCAAATCTCGCACCACCAGACGTCCGGCATCATCGACAACCGCTATCTTGCTGCGATTCGCATTGATGTCCAGGCAACGCACCGCCGACACCGCCGTCGTAATCAGCAAAGGCAACGAATTGTTCAGGAATATGCGAAAGACTTGGCCGTTCTTCAGGCCCACCATGAGACCCTCACGACCCGGCGGACCGCCTGTTACTTTGATATAACGTATAAACGAGTCCATGATCCACTCTCTTTGCAGTGCGCCCTCAAAGTCCAGGCACTGCAGACGCTTCTCCTGGCACAGCACAATATTCAGGCCACAGACCACGAGCAGGCTGCAGTCAAACTTCTGCTGAATCTTCTCCTTCACTTTGTAGTGCATCGGCTGGTTCTCCGTGGAGCTCAGTTCGTAGAGCACCACACGCTCCGGCAGCTGCACGGCCAGGCGATTTCGATAGATGGCGATTTTCTGGACGAGATCACGGCACTTGATGCGCACCTTCTGGCCCGACATCAGATGCTGAATGATCACGTCGCACATGTTCTCGCGGAAGGCGTAGCGCTCCCGATACAGAGCATGTACCGTGCTTGAGGCTATGTTGAAGCAGGCAAGCGTGCCATCCTGACAGCCTATGGTATAGGACTGTCCACTGGGATGCAGTGCCACCGACCAGATCCACGAGTCGAAGCCATCCCCGAGGGTACCCAGGCGAACGCCATCGCGTGTAAAAAAGTGCAGACTGCCAGTGCAGCCGCCAACTACACAGAACTCGCCATTGGGAAAGTATTGCATGCAGAGCGGATCGAATCCTAGAGCGCGCTCCTTGCCAATTACCTGACCGCTCAGGGTGTGAAAGGACAACGTCTGTCCCCAGTCGGCAACGGCAATGGTGTCCACGCTGCCAGCACCATTGACTGGACAGCACTGTACGCTAAAGACGCAGCTACTCGAGCCACCTGGCCGATCGATACGACTCTTCTCCTCGCCTAGTTTACTACGTATGGAAACGCTGCCATTTGCCAGACCCAAGATCAAGTACTGTCCATCGTTTGTCCAGGCACAGCCATTGACGCGTGAGCCTATTTTATACTTTTGCACAGCCTTCTGATCCGCCGACCAAAAAGCAAAGTCCGAGGTGGAGCAGGAGGCCAGGTGGTGCGAGACGGGATTGAAGCACATGCACTGAATGGAGTCGCCGTGCCTGTTAAGATCTGAGCACTTAATTACAAGGCCAATTAATGGTCTATAAACTTACGAGTATTTCAGCAGTCCCTCCAGCTGCGGCGACCACACAATGACCATCTTATCTGCTGCACCGCTCGCAAAACGTTTGCCATCGCGAGAATAAACCACCGAATTGACAATATCCTTGTGCGCCTTCAATGTGTTCAGCAACGAGCCGTCATTTGGATTGTAGATGAGCAAACGCTCACCTGCTGCCACAACCAATTGGCTGCCATCGGGCGCATAGCAAACCGAATGGACGCTGGAAAAGTGCAAAAATGTAAAAGGTGAACAGGTGTACAATGTAACGGAGCAGTTAGTCGGATCTTACCTGGTATTCTCGTCTTTGGCATTCGGAAATTCGATGCGCTCTAACCATTTCAGGACACCACGCATTTTCTTTAATTTATAGCAGCTGCATAGTTTTCAATTTCTTACATTTTATTTTTGTTTTGTTTGTTCCAAAACAATTGCTGCCATGGCAACCGAGCAGACAGATAATCGATAACAGCGTAGTCGATAGTCGCGAAAGAGAGCTCTTGATGACATCGCGAATTCAACTATCGATGACAAACAGCTGTTTTTTAGTACATACTGTGGGCGGTGTTGTTGTCATTTTACAGTCTATATCAAAACAATGAATAATTTGGATAGTTCGCTGCAAGCGCACAATAAATTGGAAAAAGAAACAACCAATTTGGTGCTGTTGAAAGATCGCGTGGACAAGTATCATGATCTCTCCACGCAAATGTCTAGCATACTTACCATCTTCGAAAAGCGTTTGGGCAACTTGGAGCAAACCATTTTGCCCGTCTACCAGGAGACGGAGCAGTTGCAAAAGAGACAACAAAGTATGTAAGTGAGATTGGTATATTGATAAATTAATTAAATGTGTCTGCTTTTAGATTTGGAGGCCACTCTGAACTGCCTCGAGAACGTGCTCTCTCACTACGATGTTTCCCAGGAGGTTTGCCAACTCATCCATCAGGGTCCCATTGAGGGCAGCATTGGCACATTTTTGGACGCCCTAGCCAAGCTGCGTGCCGCCATGGACTACTTTCTGCACAATAATTCGCAAAGCGTAGAGCTCGAGAATGTCACCAGTTTATTTAACAACGGCTGCGAGGGCCTCAATCAACACTACAGTATGCTGCTCAAGAAGCACAGCGCTCCACTGAAGCCGGTCGAGCTATTGGACCTGATTTATATAGAGGATGATTCGTCGAGCGACGAGTTCACATCGTTTCGTCAGCTCTCACAGAGCACACGAGAAGAGCTCTTCACCATTTCACATTGGCTGGAGCAGAATATGCGTGAATACACACACATTTATGCAACGGAGCGTGGAGAGGTTGTGCTGCGCTCTCTCCAGCTGCTAAAGGATCATCAGAAGAGCAGCAGCTGGGGCACTGAAGCATTGGTGAGTAATGTTGAGAGCATGTGGGCAATCTAACCTCAGCATACATACATTTTATATTGAGTGAGAAATGTTGACTTCCAATACTCTCAATGTGAAGCATCTAACGGCAGTTTTCCCCATTCTACTTAAGTGATTTGTGAGTGTTAATAATTTGTGTTTAAGTGTGAGTGACTTGTTCTGTGTCGATTTTCTGTGTAGCCTCTCAAAACTTACACATGAGAGAACTTTGCGAAAGCTCTCAACAGCTTCTCTTTAAATTGCATATGCAACTCTGTGCGCATAACGGCAGTTTTCCCAAATAACTTCCGTTGATGGCGACCACCGAAACCATAATTCATTTTTCGCTATCCAACAAAGTCTCGTGTCGTATTTGGAATTATTTTTGTTTTTAATTTTGTACGTGTTTTTTGTTTATCGTGTAAATTCAATACAATTAAAATGGCAGACTTTTGCACACCAAAAGAAATTTGCCAATTGCCGATGAATCGTATGCCCGATATTCACACTCTTTCCGTGGACAGCATACATGTGCGCTGCTCCACTCCGATTGTGGGCAAGTTGCGTTCGCCAAACTTGTCGCCCATCCGAAAGGATAAGCGATTGAAAAGTCCTGCCTCGCCGATGATCTTTGCGAAGCAAATGCACAAGGCCCAACAGCATTCGGAAAAATCGGCAGCAAATCCTGTCAAGAACTCTGGCCTGGACGATGACAGCAACAGCAGCTTGAATAACTTTCTGGATGATTCGAGTGCCAACAGTATGGAGACCTCCCTGACCCTGGAGTCGCGTCGTCGTTCCATTCAAGCGGCCAATCATTCCTATGTGCTGAATCATGCCACGAATGTGAAGGAAGTGCTGCTCCTTGTCGGCTTGGAAACGTATCTGGATAAGTTCGAGGATTCCCACATAGATTTACTCGAACTGGTGTCCATGAAGCGATCAGATCTGAAGAGCATCGGCGTACGCAAAGATGAGGACTGCAATCGCATACTGGAAGCCCTCAAGGAGCTGTAATTGAGCAGCTTTTAAGGCTATCGCTGGCTGATATGCAAATTTCATTTCATGTATTTCTTATTCTAATCAATTTTTGATGTGCAAAATATTTTTATACTAAAAGCTGTTTTAAGTCGGAATTAATTCGCTTGCCTTAAACCTCAATGGTTCTACCATTATATTATCATAAAATAAATTAAATCTCTTGCAAAAAATACAATGTATTTTCATATATATCCATACGAAATTCTTATAGAGTTTTATTTACTTGTATACTTAGTCTCAAGAACCTATTCTCTTGCAGCGACCACGTCACAGCGGACGTCAGAATGAGCCGAAGAAGAATACCTCAGCCAGACTGCAGCAAATGTGCGTACCTATTCCAGATACCCTGTAAAAATTCCCTACTCAATCTGTACTTAATATCCCTACAGTTTCGAGAAAAAAGCCAACAAATTGTATTTGCGCGCTACACAAACAATTGAGCAGTCCACTGGCTTCTCGATTAAGAAAGCCTCCTCGCACACGGATCACCTGACTTCAGAGGATCTGCTCGACGGCGATCAGGAGCTGGACAAGTATTTGGTCATGTTGTTGGGCTTGCAGCGTCTGCTCAATTGGGAGCGCGCCATCATGCGGGATATAATACCACAATCGAAACATAATGAAGTATTTGCCAGACTGGCCTATAATGCCATCGATCTGGTGGTCAAGGATGCGGATGCTATCACACAGCGCATCCTACGCTGTATTTCACGCAAGGAGTGGACCTCGGCGCTGGGCATCTTTTCGGCTCTGAAGCGGGTGATCCTGCTGCAGCCAGACATTGAGCGGACCTACGATGCCGCACAGCGGGAACAGTTGACCAAGGTGCTCAACAAGCTGCAGCAGACGGGCGCCAAGGCTCTGGAGCACTTCCTGGACGTGGTCAAGGGCGAATCAAGCACCAACATTGTGGGCCAGAGCAATGTGCCCAAAGATGCGACCGTGCATGAATTGACCTCCAATACAATTTGGTTTCTTGAGCATTTGTATGAACACTTCGATGTAATTGGCTCCATATTGGCGCAGGATGTGCTATACTCCACGCAGCTGGACACCATATTGATGAAGAAGGCGCTGCCTGGCGAAGAGCGCAACAAGGCGCTGTTGGCCATCTATATAAGTGGGCTATCTATATCCATGAGACCATAACTACCCCTACTTATATATCTTACCTTTACAGAGAAAGCTTTGGCGGAGCTCAATCTGTCCATCATGAACAAGTGTGAGCAGTACAATGATCAGGCCACCAAACATCTCTTCCGTCTGAACAATATACACTACATCCTGAAATCGCTGCAGCGCTCCAATCTGATTGATTTGGTGACGCTGGCGGAGCCGGAGTGTGAGCATAGCTATTTGGAAATGATACGTGAGCTAAAGACGAGCTACCAGAAGACGTGGTCCAAAATGCTCTCGGGCATTTACTCGCTGGAGGAGCTGCCCAAGCCAGTAGGGGGGAAGGTGAAGGATAAGGATCGTAGTGTGCTCAAGGAGAGATTTTCGGTATAGAGTTATAATAGGAGAATTGTATATTGCAATCGGTTGTCTCATTTATAAAATTTTTGTAGAATTTCAACAAGGACTTTGAGGAGGCTTGCAAAATCCAGCGTGGTATCTCCATACCCGATGTCATCTTGCGCGAAGGCATCAAGCGCGACAATGTGGAGCACATACTGCCAAACTACAACCGATTCTTTGAGATGTGAGCCAGAACTAAGATTATAACTATCCATTATCCATGAGCTATTCATAAATTTCGCACCCAACTCTCTTCTAGGTACGCTGGCGTGCAGTTCAGCAAGAATCCGGATAAATATGTCAAGTATCGACCGCACGAGATAAATGCAATGCTTAGCAAGCTCTTCGATGACTCTGCCTAAGGCCAAGCCCAAACCCATAGTCCATAAGATCATTCCCTCAGCTTGTACGTTCGTTCGGCTTTTTAATTCCAACATAATAAATATTGATTTTTGTAAAAATTATCATACATACAATACGCAATAGAGAGTGTAGCCTAAAAAATATTAAATGCCATGTAAAATTGGAAGCAATTCCTTTCTAGTAAAGGAAATTGGTGGATGGCGCCTCGGGGCGTCCACAGGCGCCGTAATGCTGCACCGCCACGGTGCTATTGGTGCGACAATTCTCGATGTCCAGGAAGCAGTCGTTCAAGTACGTCTTGTTGTCGCTGCCGCAGACCGGCTCGAATTCGCGCGGACAGATGCGAGCGCAGCCCTTGAACTGGAAGGCGGCCAGGCAGCGCTTCAGTGGCACCACAAACACGTGCTTGCCGCAGTTCTCCTTGCGCATGTGGCACTCGGACTTGTAGAACTTGTTGTCGGAGCCGCAAACAAAATTCGGTGGCTGCGCGTCGCAGTCGGATTCACAGTCGGCGGTCAGGGCGCAGTTCTTCAACGAGACGGGCACCACGCGCAGGTTGCAGGTGCGACGCTTGAATTCGCACATCGAGCCAAAGGTGTTGCCATCGGAGCCACAAACCGGCTGCTGCTCCAGATCGGCGCGCGTGCACGCATCCCCGCAGTCCTTGGCAGGCGAATTCAGATCCGTGCAGGGGCCAATGTGGGCCAAATTAACGCCGCGTCTGAGTTGATAAGAGTTGAATATGCTTAAAAAACGACTTGCAGTTGGCATCGATCACTACTCACAGACAGGTGGCGTGGGCCAGCTCACACTCGTTGTTGTACGTCTTGGCATCGGTGCCACACAACTTGTCGTTGCGCTTCGAGCTGAAGATGGAGCCAAACAGATTGTTAAAGTCCTTGCATGGCGGCAGCTGCTTGCAGCGGGTCAGACGATTCTTGCACTTGTCCATGCTCATCTTCTGGATGGACTTGCGCTGCGGTCTGTGGGAAGAGATTAAATAGTAATCAACTACTTTTGAGCTAGATGAAAGCTCTTATTTCTATACTTGAAGAGACATTGCTTAAGGCTTTACTATGCAGCTAAAGCTCATTGGAGCTTAGCCTAAATTTGATAATAAGCAAACGAAGCTTTTACAAGCTTGAGTACGAGCTTGGCTTAAGTGTGCTTTTAAAGCTTTATATCTAACTTCAATTTTTGAGCTTTTCAGTCTGTCTTCATTTCACTCACCCGCAGTTGAGCATCTTCAGCTCACAGAGCGAGGAATAGATGTTGCCATCGCTGCCGCAGACATATTGCGAGGTGGCATCCGCGTCCGATTTGGGGCACTCGGTGGGGCATGTCTCCGCTGACTGGCTGCCATGTCGCTCCTGCGGCATGCAGAAGGATAGCGGCACCTCGAACACGTGCTTGCCACAGTTGGTGGAGCGCATCTTGCAGGGACTCGCATAGAGCCGGCCATCCGAGCCGCAAGTGGGTCGGGCCACACGCCAACAGGACTCGCGGCACATGCGCGTCGATTGGCAGTGCTTGCGACTGGTCTTGACGACGCCCTGGCCACAGGTGTGCAGCTTCATCTCGCAGGTGGAGTTGTAGACATTGCCATCGGAGGCACAGATGGGTCCATCTTTCGGCGCACTGTTGCAGTCCACGGGACAGGATTCGCGCTGGGCACTCGTGTTGCTGCAGGGACCCACATGCGAGAGTTTGACGGCCGCCAGGCCCACGCGGCACGACTGGACGCGCAGCATGCAGCGATTTAGATAGGTGCGTCCGTCGGTGCCGCAAACGGGATCCTTCTCCGTGCTGCAGCGATGCTTGCAGTCGGAGCCCTTCGAGCGCTCGCAGCCGTCGCGCACATCCTTGATCAGGGAGACGCCGTTGCGGGAGCAGGTCTTCTTGCGCAGCTCGCACAGATTGGCGTAGATCAGGCCGTCGCTGCCGCACACGGGCTCCGCGCCCACCGTCAAGCTGGGCGGGCACGAGCGGGGACAGCTGTTGGTATTCGCGCTGGATGCGCTGGCTCGGTGCTGYCGCCCCATGGACAGCTGCTGCTGCTGCTCCAACTCCTCCTGCAGCAGATTCTCCAGTGCTGCAGCAGCTGCGCCAGGCGCCTGCATCAGCGTAGCCGACAGCTCGGGCTGTGCATCCTGCCGATAGTTGATCAACAGCGAGTCCGGCGAAGCATCCGCGTTGCGATAGCGTATCACAGGCGCTTGTGCCGGCAATTTGATGATCTTAATGGGTGAATCTGTTACGGCGCCTGCAGCGAGACAGAGAGAGGCAGAGAGTGAGTGAATCAGAGAGAGTTCAAGTTATTCTGAGTTGAGTTTGTTTCGCTCGGCATGCGGAAGAGCTGCCACGGGGCATACAATTCACGGATTAGCTTCGAGTGGCAAAAGTGTTTTACGCAGTTGCCCCTCTTCCAGTTGATGCTGTTGCCCCATCGTGTTGCGCACGTGTCGTGTCACGCACGTACAGGTTAAGCAGCAACAGATGAACGAGCTGGACACTCTTAGGTGCGATATATAAAGATGTATATGAAAGGCTTAAAATAGTTATAAAGCGTAATATAAGCTTAGGATATTTTATTATATTTATTTATTATTTTAAGCTCATAAGGCCTTTAATCAGATATATAAATTTTTGTTTGGCATACGAATATCATATATCATATATACCGCATCAGAGATAGAATAAAAATGTACTTTGCTCCGAATATAATCATTAGCGAAACAAATACTTTCTCTCTTGTTATCTCCTAGCTTTTCCGTATATTTTCCTAGCTCAGCACAATTTGCTCAGGCAGCTAAATATTCTAGCTAACAGTTGCTCAATGACTGAGCACAATAGAATTAAGCTCTGGGTTCTTCATGCGCAAACATGTCTAGCTACGCCCACCTTCTGCCGGTGCTGTACGTAAGCGTTTAACAGCTATCGATTCTTGTATTATTTAGCTTAATTAAAGAAACGCCAACGTGCATTTTTGTTGTTGCTGCCAATTGATCGTTGCGCTGTGCTCAATTGGCCCTCAATAACGAGTCTGGCGCGAAGTTCTCACAGTTCAAGTGAGACGTGAACATGACTCGCAGCTCTACAGATATCAATAACTTGGGAGAACATGTGCATTGGGAGACATGCTGCGATCAATGTCAAATGCAATACAAATGTCAAAGTCGAACAAGCCACAGTCGATAATCATTGATGGCCTTACTAAGTGCTAGTTATTGTAATT